CTTAGCAAACTTGTAATGAAAGACCGAGTGGTAGACCTACCTCTAGAAAAGCCATGTTGCTCAGTAATTAATAGTTGATAATAATAATAATAATAATAATAATAATAATAATAGGACGCACTATATTTCTTTTGAATTATACTAACAAACAAAAAAACCGAGAAAAAAACCCAAATTTTTAATAAGTATTTGTTGAATTAATCGACGAATTAACTAGCAACATTACAAATACCTAGATAACGAACAGAAACATAAATCTTGTGGTTATTCTGTGTATGCTGTGAGTTTATCAGTATAATGGAAATCTTTTAAGAAATAAAAAAATATTTTTATTTCAGTCAATAATTTTTCAAATAAATTGAATAAATAGGCATAGATTTTTTTCTCTGACTTCTGATAGATTTTAAGTTTTGAAATTATTATGTGGGTATCGTAGTACTACCCCACTTCAAATTTTGGGCTCCCGACGTTGACCCCATGTGCAGCTGTGACTGCAACCAGGTTTACAGTTTGAAAAGTTCCCTTGGAATTTTTTTCGCAGCAATTATATTTGTGCATTTCATATTCTATTAGTATAGTTGTTTATCCACGTGCAAGGCCCAATTACAATAATGTCAACAGTCACTTACCACAGATAAGAAAATAACAAAAACATCAGGTGCAACTCAATGCATACCATTGTTAATTTTAATTTTTGAGATGTATATGAAAAACTGATTAGATTAGAATTCCATTCAGTTTACTCAGTTTGACAGTCACTCACTTGCATCACAGATTATCAAAGGTAAAGACTTGACACAGGAATGTTTTGTAAGATCCAAAAAAATAACTATCTCATGATCATGATTAGCAAGTCTGGTAGCTCTGAAAATAAAAGTAAAATAAAAATTGAACCATAAATAGGTTGGTGAATTCGAAAATAGAAGCTGCTGTGCACAGATATTGTGGATCTAGAAAAAACACATTCCGATATCAATTTTGTATGTAACTTCTTTTGTAACACGATTTACCTAAGTAATTGGTGGCATATTGAGCAAAGTTAGCTTTCTACAGTTGGCTGAGGAACTGGTATTGTTATTCAAGATAATGTACCTAGGTACTTAGTTTGTATAAATTGTATGCCACCTTTCTCAAAAACCCAGACCCTAGAAGTATACTCCAAATGGGGGGCGAACAATAGCACAATGCACAATAAAGGAGTTTCAAAGCCATTAGATTAGTGAGTTGGAAAAGCCTTACTGACTGGATTCTCTCTTCGATGTTTTGAAGAATAGTTAGATAGTAAGTTGTTAAGTTTGATACAGTTGACCTGTTCTTGGAAAAATCCATGTTGCTCCTGGCTGATACGGCCTTTAGATTGCCAAGAAACTTGTTTGGTTACCAGACAATCAAATAATATCGGCATGGCAGATTGTATACAACTACTGCTATAATTCTCATTTCTCAACCTTGCTTTTCTTTCCACTTATTTAATTAAAATTGGAAGAACAGCTTCTAGGAAAAACCGCTGACCAGTTGTGGCTGCCTGGTCGCCATAAAACAGGAAGCTTAGCAAATTATAGCTAGATCAAAGTGTGTCATTTCAGACTTCCAGAAGGATTTAGTAGGATCCCTGGTTAATTTTGCGGCCAGACCACTTCTTTAATGATTAGAACGAGGATTAGAATAAATATCAGATAGCCTTTTACAGTCGAACAAGCAATTGAGAAAATCTTTCCAAAGTCAACCCATGTATAACTCGGCAGAAAACCAGCCCGGAAAATCAGTTGTGCTGTACTTTTTCAGTGGAATAATAATGACTTCTTTTTGCGGCATGATTTGTCAGCCCTTTTTCTTGCATTTTATAGACTATTATAAACATCTTCTATGAATGAGTTTGGGAATTTTATTTGAAACATGAATAGAAATTTAGGCCACTTGAGGCAACAGTGGATCTTCTAGAATATATTTCAAGTTAACTGGATAACAACAGATAAGTTTTAAAGAAATGGGATTTCAAGGGACATGTCATAACTTGCTGAAAACATACTCAATGGGCAGAAAACAGTGCACTCGAGTCAATGATGAAATAAGTAGCACTGAAAATGTAACTGTGAGTATGCTCAAGTTTCAGTGCTAGGACCTTCGGAGTATCTCCTATATGTCTAAAGTCTGAAGTATGCTGGATTGAGGGCTAAATATGTGAAATTTTGTGATGATACAGACTTCATATACTCGAGAAAATGAAAAAGAACTTGAAAATACTGTCAATGAAAATCTAGTACGCTTTTTTGATTCGCTCTTCTACAATAATTACAGTACCTATAAATGCTGAAAAGACAGTCTACATGGTCATAACAAGCACAACAATTAAAATCATTCGCAAAATCCTAAAAAAAGTGGAACAATATAAATACTTAGGCCCGAGCTTAGGCCTTATTATAACACATTGAAAGCACCATTCTTGGGAGCTGTGAGGAGGTGTAGAAAACTCAAAATATACTCCTGGACAAAATTATCGCATTATGTGCAGTGGTGCGATAATTTTGTCCAGGAGTATATTTAATCTACTTACATATACCTAATAGCTTCATGGAGCCATAATTCAGATATGATAGCATGCTATGGAAATGCTACCCTGTAACAGTTAAAACAGCTACAAAGACTGCAAAACAAATCAATAAAAACAATGTTCTCTAGGCTCTGTTATAGACCCAGTGAAACCCTATACAGCATCCCTACTTAAAAATTGAACACTTGAAGATGTTTGAGCAGGGAAAACTTATGTAGTATAAAATACAAAACCACCTTATTAAAACAAATGTGCACACCAGACCGAATAGAGACTATCACAACTACAATCTTAGAACGGGAGAACAAATTAGAAATACCTAAGGATGTTAGAACCAACCATCTATATTATGTATACAAACCTACAACAAAGTTTCACCCAGGTTATTAGAAGGACAAGAAAATGCAGTGTTCTTATCATAATCTCAAAAAACTTTTTAATGACAGAAACTGAAAATGTATATAAGTAGTTCTTATTCCAGAATAACTGAGTTATTTTTTAAATATTTTTATATAGATTTATATTTTCTGTTCATAATTATTTTAGGTGAAGGCCTCGGTGCCAGTTTTACTGACATCAGAAATAAATCCTTTAAAAAATTTTAAAAAACTATTGATGCTTAAAGTGCAAAAATATGGTTTTCAGACATAACATTTTAAAATGGTTCAAGCTCGGGTTCAAGGATTATCTCAGCAAAAGACCACAGATGACAAAGTACGGTCAAATATCAGTACCGCAAGGGTCCTATCCTATTTATTCTTTACATAAATGACATTGTAAAGGTAATTAAAAATAATTGTAAAATCCAATTGTTCACGGACGATACTTTATTATCAGGTAATGGGTGAGAACATTAATGAAATATGTAAGTAACACAAAAATTGGATAATGATCTCAACTACCTGATAATTCTCTGCAATTAAACTTAAATAAAATAAAATCAATGGTAATAAGAAAAAGGACACGTAACTATAATTTATATTTTGTAAACTTCAATGTAAAAATAGGTGACGAGAAAATCGAAAGAGTGGACGAGTTTAAATACTTAGAATGCATAATGCAAAATACAATGATATTTATTTACAAAATGTTAAATGATCTACCTACCTACTGCCCTGACATCTGAAAAATTGTAAATTTATTAGAGAAACTCGAGGAGAAACTCATAAGTACAATACTCATTTCAGAATTTAAAACCCTATGTAGTGGATATATGTATTAAGCAAAAAATTTAAGAATATGATATTTGTAAATTAGTGGTGATTTTGATTGGATGCATGGAATATTTGAAGAAACCTTTTTTCAATAATGTAATTACATAATTTTTGTTTGTATGTCTGCTAGCCAAGTGCTATGAATAAGCAAGAGGCAACATGAAATTACAGACTTTGACAATTGGTGCTAAGGTGAATAGCTCTTAAACCAAGAGATGGAAACAAGACTCGTAGAAATATATTAAAAAGCCAAACTAAAAAAAAACGGTTTTCTGTTTCACAACAGATACCTTGCCCTCAAAAATGAAGGAAGCCAAAGTGCAACCATTCTACGAAAAAGGGAAAAACATAATCCTGCTGTCGTCTGTCTTCAAGGTCTTCTAGCGGGCATTGTACAATTGGCTTGTAATTGATTTTGTTGAAAAACAAACTCTTCCCAAAAACCATCAATAGGATTTAGGGAAAAAAAATCTACCACTGGAATTTATATGTAACATAACTAACTTGCCCAATAAATAACTATTATTTGATTTTTTGAAATCTTCGGATTATAGAGATAATATGCTTTCTGATTTGAACCATTGTCCTCTTATATTGAATACACCTTCTTCATAGACAACAGATTAAAATAGTATCTATTTATTAAAACATTCTTCCAATTACCTACATACTACAAAATTTTATACCTACAGGAAGTACTTGAAAGATATTTAATAATTTACACAGGATAAGGACTATCAGGTGCCTAATACGCTAATACTATACAAGCAAAAATATGTTTATTATCTTTTTATGCCCAGGGCCAAAATAGGGGATAAGATAAGATCCCAAATAAGATAATAACAGTCGATTTATTTTTGAGAAAAGTTTAAGTGAAACAATATTTTTGAGTCCTATTTTTGGAAGAATAGTTATTATCACTATTATTATGTCTACAAAAGCTTATCTTATTACCTGAAAGTGCAATAAACACTTTGAAAGTGACATCTTTATCTTGATCATTTTGTATTATGGTAGGTATTTGCCTCGGTATTTGTTTTAAGTCAACCATCAATTATTTTGTAAACATTTTCACATTAAGTAATGTATTTTGGTCAGAAATCAATAAAGAAAACAATAATTGATAGATCTTGAAGTTTGAATACTAGTCGGTGTTTAGGCAATGTATAAATCTTTTCGAGGTGTTTTTTTCTGAGTTCACTAAGACCCCAATACAATTATTTTTTTTGTTACAGACGTAGTTGCTGTCTGCCTGGCAGCACCGGATGCCTCCATTGGTGGGCGCCCCCTCGCCCGTCCGCCAGCTGAGGCGCATGGACCGTCCTACTGTCGCCCGCTACGCGTTCGCAGGCCCCCCCAGTTGCCCCAGCACACCCGGTTCTACTCAACTGGGTAAGAAAGAACTTTACTATAAATTTCCTTTAGTTTTCAAAGCCAAAATATCGCTTTGTCAAATAACCAACTTGGCCATTAGCATCAGGAATATAGGACGTTGTATATATTTTTCCAGTGCTATAGAGATGAATGAGCTTTTTTGATCATGAATTTGAAATGATCATTTCAAAGATTGTAAATATTCCTTTCTTGAAGATGTTGGATTATGGTGGGAGTTGACATAGGTATAGGTACTCACTCGGGTACTCATTATGAAAATAAATCTTCATCAACATCACTTATCTATTAGCCTTCTGGCTGGTATAACTACTCGACTCGTCTATTCTTGTCCTCCTTCTCGTGGCATGTCGTGTGCACATTTATGGCTGTTGTACCGAAGCTTGTAATGGAACGTTCTGGTACAATCAGTAATAATAATAATTCCATTTACTGATTTCAACCTTTGCGTTTCAAATTGATTCACGTCGACATTAATTATTTTCGCCATTGAGCGCGTCAAATCGCCAATTGCGGTATGAGAAATGCTTGCACAATGTGTCCTTGTACCATAACTTTAGACCACTCTGGTCTTTCCGCTCATGAAGAAGCTGAATATAACATTGGCTTGGAAAGCCTTTGATCACTAATAATAGTCCCACATGTTCCACCCCCACCCATCTCAGTTGTCTTTGCATCATTACAGATCCGATACCAGGTAAATTCTCTCTTAAGTATTTCTAACAAAATGAAACCATTGGATTTTCAAAATTGATCCTAAGCATCCAAGATGGAATTGGTCAAGTTTTTGAATATTATGTGTCTGTATAAACACCGTGTTTCAGCTCCAAATAGAAGTGTTGATAAATTGACAGCTTTGCACACTTTAATCTTAATTTCAACAGATACATCATGTGACTGAACAATCTGTGACCCCATCAGCCAAATGATGTAGACGCATGTGCTATTCTTGCATTAATTTCCACATTCCTCTTTGTATCCGAAGATATAGTGCTTTCACTGCTTTCCAGATATTTGAAGCTTTGTACTTGTCCCAGTTGTACTCTGGCAATATCAATATTTACAGGCTCTTGATGCCCTTTTCCCGAGCCTTTTCCTGACCAAATATTTGCTGAATAACTTCAGTTTTCTGACAGTTTATTTTGAGTCCAAGTCAATAGCGAATGCATTTTGTGGCTTGGAGCGCATTCTTGTAATACATCAATAGAGTTTGCAACTAAACAGAAATACTCAGCATTTCGATTATTTCAGCTAACTTTGGTTTTCGCACAAAGTGGATAGAGATTAAAGAGACCACCATCATACAAATTCGTGATGTGGATAGCTTCTCTTAGTGATGGTCTAGCGAACAATGTCAGTGCCAGAATACAGCCCTGGTTGACGTCGCAGGTTACTGCAAATTACTCTCTCCTTCATCTACTGTAGAAAGTCTGCAACATTTTTACAAATTTTTATGTGCAAATAACTTTTCTTATTACTTACTACCTAGAGAACTTCTCTAGGAACACGGTTAAATGCTTTCCGAGATCAACAAAGCACGTAAGTATATAAGGGCTGATTTTGTTCAAGACATTTTTATTGAAGATGTCCTTTGGAGAATATAGGATCCTCTGCTAGCATGAAAACCATAATGTGTGTCTGCAAGCACTTTTTTGGCCAGAGGCTGTAATTTGTTAAGCAGAATCTTTTTCTGCAGTACAAGTTACAATCCAATCATTTGCTTTTCCTTTGTATAGTGCAGAGATTGTAGTCGTTTTGTTCATGAGGGCTATTTCACTTTCCCACATTTTGCAAATTAGTCTAAACAGAGCATTATTTAATCTGTACTTTTAAATACTTCAAGAGGAAGACCGAAGCCTCCAGGAGTTTTGCCATTTTTAGCTCAGAAATTGCTTTCTTCCCTCTTACCTCTCTTATACACTTGGTGGCCTATCAAGGGTTTTATCCTCGGTTTTATCTGAGTTTCGCTTTGGTGATTGGTTTATTTGGTTTTGAGGTATTCCAAATCTACAGTGCTGTCAGTATTTGAAAAGGTATAAAAATGTTCTAACCACCTTGCCAAGATTTGCTGCTTTTATTTTACATGTGTGCCAACCAAAGCATTCATTGGCACCTTTTGTTGCATTGTAAGCACATAAACTTGTTTATGCTTTTTGTAAAACATGCCCATTTGCTGCGAATATGAGTATATTTGCACCTCGTCTTCTGTAATCAGCCACCATTTTTCCTTCCCTTGCTGGGATTCGTGTTAATAGGCTACATATTCTTTAAGTCTTCTCAAGGTAATGTTTCTTTCCCAGTTTTGTAGGCCTTCCCAATGGTGTTTGTGAGCGTCCATCAGAGTTTAATTCTTTTAATCAAACCAGTCCTGGTGATTCTTCTTTCCCAATCCAAGTGATTCAAAGGCAACTTCTTTTAAAAACCTGTTGAGGTCTGACCAATCTTCTTCAATGGGTATTTGTATCCAAGTCAATATAGGATCGAGGTACTAGTTTGTCTTGAATTCCTTCCTTGATTTTAGGATCTTGAAGTTTATTTAGGTACATCAAATCTTATAATATATGTCGTTTTAGAACGTCTTTCTTCGTTGTCTGACACCTAATTTCCATCCCTTTCTATCGTCGCAATCCTCTGATGAGAGATTTCTTTCACTCGAGGACTTTTGTATGGTCCTCTGCCATTCCAGTTTTGGTGTTCCTCGTTTTCATCTACCTGTTGGTTGCCAATGCAGCATTTTTCTGGGCCACCCCTGGTATTTCGCATTCGTTCTATGTACGTGTCCCTACCAGGTAACTTTTTTCCCTCCAATGTCCTGAGCTATCATGCCTCCTATTCCCATTTATTATTTTATATTGTCATTCCTTCTCCTTTGTCGTGAGATTCGCATGGATGTTCTAATAGCATCTATTTCAACTGCTTCTACTTCCTTCTTTTCTCTGTCTGTAATTCTCGGCTCCATAGGCTGCTCTTTATCATTGTCTCGTATATATTGAATTTTCTCTTCTTCATTATTTCCTTGGTCTTCTTTGTTATTTCCTTGCTGCTTCAGCTTTGACTATTCGCTTTTCTATTTCTTTCACATCTGTTCCCGTGTTGTGGAATGTGATACCTAGATACTCATATTCCTGACATTGCAGAATTTCCTGACCATCGTCCACTTAAAAGTTTCCGTTCTGGCTGCCTACACATCGAGCTACACATAGATATTTTGTTAAATTTATATTAACTCTCAGAGCTACTGATACGTATATTTTGAAAAGCGTGGGAGAGATACAACATCCTTGACATAGTCCTGTATTCACTATAAATGTGAGTTTTTCTCCTATCTTAATTCTTGATTTTGCGTCTTTATATAGGTAGTTCTTTAAGTGCCGTTATATGGGTGTTATTGATGTTGGATTGTTCTAATACCTTCCATTAGTCTGGAACTGGATACTGGGTCTGTATTGTATGCTTTTTGTAGGTCCACAAATGTGAGGTGAGTTTCCAAATGTCTAGCAGATCTCTATAATTTTTTTTAGGCAAAATACTTTGTCTATATCTGATCATCGTGCTCTAAAGCCGCACTCTTCTTTCTCTTTATAATCTTCAATGAGATCACGCCGGATTCTACCGTATAGTCTGCATAGTGTGCTTGTGATTGATATGCCCCGATCCAATAGTTATTGCAGTCCAGCTTATTTCCGTGTTTGTGAATGGATGATATGAAAGCCATTTTACAGTCTTGTGGAACAGGATATCCATTTAGGAATTTATTGATAATACATGTGATACCTTCAAAGAGCTTCTCAGTTCCCCATTTCAACATTTCAACAGACTTAAGATTCTTAACAGTATTTTTTACTGTTTCCTCAGATATCTCAACTATAGGGTGATTCAGTTCAAGGTGACATTTTAAATCTTAATTAAAAACCGTTACTTTTTGGGAAAATGCTAATATTTTCATTTTGTTATAATGTTAAGATATTGACATTAAGCATGGAGAATGATATCATCTAAATAAATAACCGCCTCAAGCAGCCTGGCAGATTTCCGCCCTTTTGATGAAGTTTTCTATTGTTCTTCATCATAAGTCCTGTGGAAGCTCACGGCGAATCTCGTCCTTCAGCTCTGGAATAGGCATGATGAAAGACTTTGAAAAACTATCCTATAATGTTCGGAAATGTATGTTATTCACAATGAATAACATATTTCTGAAGATAATAAAAGTTTTAGTAGAAAAAATTACATTTGAGCTTTTATATTTAAAATTCGCGCCAAAACGCTTCATATTGTCATGGCGTCACTAGTGACGTCACGTTTGAGTAAACGAAATCTAAACACATAGATTCTAGGCATATTAGCACTGTTTGCCTTAGTATAACCTTGCTCTATGACTCGATGACTCGCGTTATTTCACTTTTGATTCAATATTCAGTATAAACAACACACGGTATAAACAAAATTGAATCGCAAATAAAATCAAAGGCATCAAAGGGCACCAGTCGTTTGTTTACTCAAAAGTGACGTCATTCGTTCTGATTGGTGTTCAACATATCTTGGCGGACCTGTGTATTTTATAGTTCTATTTTATCAAAATAATTATCAATCTGGCTCTTAATAAAAAAATAAATGCGTGTTTCGTATTCCATGAGTCAAGTTTCATTGAATTAATATATAATTTGAGTGAGTTTTAATTACTGTCATCACGCCTATTCTTCTGTGATTATTGGCATACACTTTTTGCTTCACATAACTCCAAAAAAATGCGTTCTTGTGTTGAATGTCGCTCCATATTCGTGAATGTCAATACCACTGAACTATAACCAAAAACTGGAATGCGAACACATATTGACGAACGTGAAGCCTAGTGCCGCTGCTGCGGAGGGGATACCTGTTTTTGTCGCACTCATTATGTTAAATGGCTGAAATTGCTTCCAACACGTATTCCAATTGATGAAACCTGTGAAGGTAAATATGACAAAACTTTCCAAAACGTCATATGTCAGCGAGCAACAGAAAAAAACAACATTCCCCTTTGTGGCATCTGTCTTTCATGGCTACATTTTTTTGGCAGATATGGCAATGTGTGCGCATTCCAGTTTTTGACTATAGTTCATTGGTCAATACTCACTTAAGACACATGTCAAATTTCGGCCATATATGGCTGCCAGCGAACCAGTGTTGCCATATTTAAATTGTAACCTTAAACTGAATCACCCTATATCCATATACTTCAATATGTGTTGAAGAATCTAATATATATTCCGATCTACATTCTTGTAATAGTGTGTTCTATCCATTGCTCTGATTTGATTACCTGGATATTAGCTCTGTCCTTTCCTGTGAGTCATTTGATATAAATCTGCATACCCCTGAGCATTTCCTTCCTCCTATGTTGGTGTTAATTTCTTCACATTTTTTATCCCATAACTCGTTCTTAGCTATAGTGATAGTGATGCACATTCTTAGTTGTCTTTTTGTGTCTTTTTAAACTTTCTTTTTTGTTAATAGCCATTTCAGATATTTTTGCTTCGTCTCTTGGACTAATAGCTCTTTCTCCTTGTTCCTTGTTCCACCAGTATTTCTTGTTGGAATTTTTTTTCTTCGTTCCTATTGCTTCTTAGGAGGCTTCTATTGCTTCTATTATAATACGACGAGCGAAATTTGATCGTGGCGCCATCTAAGACTAGGATTCAACACTAAACAGCACTTTTGCTATATTTAGTAATGACCATCTAATAGGCCGATCAAAAATCAGTTAGTTGGGAAAACCCAGAATAGGGAAAACAAGTTTTCTCCTATTATCCACTGATGTGAAAAATTTGGATTAATTTTCTCTGCAAACTTCAAAAACGCGCCATCCGTTATATGGCCAAGGCTCCTCTTAGATCCCATTGCAGGCCTCTTTTCATTGCTCATAAAATACTTACCTTACCTTGCTTATTTATCCTGGAGACAGTAAGTCTAATCCACAAAAATATTTCCATATTTCCTGCACATCAAGCCAATCGTCCTACTCGACAAAATACTAATATACCTCTTCCGATTCCTCATTCAACTCTCGTTAAAAAATCCATTATCTATGATAGCATTAAAATTTACAATCATCTTCCTTCATTTTTTAAGCAAATCTCTGAGCTCTCAAAGTTCAGAAAAACAGTTAAAGATGCACTGCTGTTGCAGGCATTTTATTCAATTGATGAGTACTTCAATGTGTCCTTATAAAATTAAAAAAAACACCTAAGTAGGTAGCCCTTTTCATTATGATTCTCTTTTTTACTCAACTAGATTTATTCTGATCAGTGACTTTTTATACTTTTCTTTGCTGCCTTCAAAATTCCTAATTTAGGTACCTACACCAAATTTTTAGGATTACTCTGTTTGTGTCGATATTTTTGTAGTATTTAATGTCTGTTGTAGTGCGTTCTTTATATTTTTTTTATGGCTCTGTGGCCTGTGCATTGCTTATTTTTGTGATATTAATGTTAATTGTTCCTAACGTTGAAATGGCCAAAAAATTAACAATCTCACACTACCACATAATAATATTGGATAATACTTTTGTTGTAATAACTTGTTTCATGTACCTTACTTTTAATGTTTCGGTTAACTTACCAAGCTTTCTTTATTTATAGATCAACCCATGCACTTATTTTTAAGGATTTAGAATTAAGTTATAGCTTTGTCAATAAGTTTATTGTAACTTGGACAATAAAGCATGTTTTCTTTCTTTCTTTCTTTATTCCATCAATCAAATTTCGCTCGTCGTACTACTTCTATTTTGCCTACAGGCACTAAACTTGGATTGGTTTTCTATGCCTTCCTAGCCACACTGACGAGACCTGATAGGTCGAAACGCGTCTGTGGATGGAATAGCAAAGAAAATTAATCCAAAATTTTCACTCTTTATAATTTTCTCATAGGGTTAATTGAAGGTTCATTCTTCATGGTTCAATGGTTTGCTGTCGAGTCGCCTCTGGTATGCTTTCATCTGTAAAACTGTCAAAATTGTATCCTGTTGTATCCACTGTGTTCGTGAATATAGCATTGGTGTTTTTTTCTTGTGGGTTCTTGTTCATTTTCCTAAATTGCAACTTTATTTTGGATCTTACTAAAAAATGATCTGACCCGGAAGTTATTCCTCTTAGGACTCTTACGTCGTTTATGTCAATAAAAGTTTTTAGGTCACGGGTATTCTGTATCCATGTGTAGCGGTGAATATTTTTGTGTCTGAAAAATTCGTTGTTTATTCTAAGATTGTGGGTCTCACAGAGATGTATGAGCCTTTGGCCATTATCATTGATTATTTCTTGTCCAAATTGTTCTACAACTGGGCTATTGTTCGTGCTTCCAGTTCTTCCATTGAAATCCCCTATCATTATGATTTCTCTATTTCTTGTCAAAGAGCTCCTGCTAAATGCCGACTCTTTCGTCCTCTGATGGAATGTAGGTTTCTATAATGGTGATGTTATTTATAGCCATGTAGATTCTAGTTGACCGTTAGGATATTTTCATCTACAGCTTCCTAGTTATTAATTTTGTTTTTCCAGTTTTTCCTTATCAGTAGAGCCTCTAGCTGCTCTCATTCCCTTTGACACTCCAGTAAAAAGGTGAATATATTCCCAAATATTTTCGGTACCGTCTCCTTTTTTCTTGATTTTGGTCAGTGCTACTAAATCGATGTTCGATTTCTGAATTTCTGATGCCATAATATCCGTTTTCAGTCTAATACTCTGTACATTCCACATAGCGAAATTCATAGTCCCATTTTCTTTGCCGTTTTTGTCGTCTTGGTCGTCCAATGTTCCGAGACTTCGCTTAGGTTTTTTGGTAGATTTAAATTTTTCCGAGTATTAGAGAACCCCCATCCTGGAGGACCGGGTCGGTTTTTGTTTCACGGTGGGTGTTCTATTTTCCCACTACCGTCTGAATCTGTTGTATTGCAGACCCAGCGAGCAATGTGCCTCTTTTTAGTCTTTATTTACAGTTGTAATGCAAACATCTGAAATATTCTGTTTCGAAGTATGATATAGTTTAGCATGTGCCTTGATCTTGGATGCACCCATGTTGCTTTATACTTATATCTTTGTCGAAACCAAGTATTCTTGATACAGTATCTTAAGTATCTTAATTATTTTTTGTAACTTATCATTTTTGATTCAACTAGATATTTTTTACTGATTTAAAAAACTATTGACTGTATATGAATACTACTTTTTTCCAGGACGTCCTTCAGGACTGTGCACAGCCCTGTTCGACTATGACGCGCAAGGGGAGGACGAGCTCACTCTAAGAAAAGGACAAATTGTTGTTATATTAACTAAAGATGCCAAAATTTCAGGAGATGAAGGATGGTGGACTGGGAAGATTGGAGATAAAGTGAGCAAATGAAGCTTGAACTAAAATTTGTAATTTTTATTTAATTGTTACCATTCAGGTTGGGATCTTCCCTGCAAATTTTGTCATCGATTCGGAAGAGCAATCAGAAATCAACAACGTCGACACGATTTTCTCTGATGTCAATTTGGTCAAGATCGATTTTAAGGAACTCAAGCTGGAAGAGGTGATAGGAGTTGGCGGCTTTTGCAAGGTAACTACTTAATAAATAATTCTCACCTTTTAACTTCATAAAAGTCAAATTAATGCTACCAAAATGGTTATTAATGTTTGTAGCTAATAATTAATGAATTCAAATGTCACGATCATAAAGCAATAGTAGTCGAACATGAAGAATAGGTTTTTGGCTTGGTTTTTCCACCATGCCTAACAACTTTTATAATTATTTTGGAATTAAAATGGCTACTGATTTCCCATTGTACCGATAATTTATCATTGTTTCATCACTTTCTAGAAGTGTTATCAGGAGGGACAATAGCAATTGTTTCTTTTTCTTTATCTACACATTTTGTATAGGTTTTTAGTTTAATTTCTTGGTAATTAACTCAATTATAGAGACATGAGACAAAATCTTCAAATATTGTTTTATTTTATATTATATATTGACAGCTCACACTATAATCTAATGCATTCAATTTCCTAGCTTGTTCATAGCTGGGGAAAACAAATCAATCATTGTATATCTTCAGCCATAGTAGTTTAGTCCTTCCAAAAAAATTGTGTATTAGAATTTTATAGCAAAAAATATAAAATTGAAAACCAATTAAATCATTATTCATCACAGTCTTATCTCGCTTTTTTAATTAACTTTTATAAACAATACTGATAGGATTGCAATGTTAATTGCATTTAGTGGAAAATCACCTCAAAACAGGTATAAGTTAAAGTTGCGAAATAATAGCAAAAGCATGACAAGGTCAAATATTCTCAATAAAATAGACTACACGAGTCTTGATGTTTTGTTATCTTAATCATTAGAACATAATCGAAAAAAAATATAGGAAGCGATTATGGATTATGGAAATCGAATTAAATTGTTATGAAATAGTTCACATGAAATCTCTTGCATGGTCGAGCAACATTTATCTTTTTCTTTTCGTCATTCCCATTTCATTGAAGCATCGTCAGAAATGAAACTCTGAGTTATGTCCAATTCTTGAAACAGGGGAGCAGCGTTCCCACGAGAACGAGTGTTCCATCTTTGTTACTTATATTATCATTTCCATATCATTGAGAAAGACGGGACGCGCGCTCTCCTGGGAACGCTGCTCCCCTATTTCAAGAATAAGGTAAGGACCCAGTTCCTTTCCAAGTCTAGTATTTGAGTCTCCCATAGCCTGTGTGCTGATTTGGCCAACTACTGTTTGTAATTTCTTGTAGAAATTATCTCTTACTTCTCATTTGTGGATACTTTTCGTTTTCGATTTTTGTTGTGAGTTTTAGAATTCTTTCGTTGATTTATTGTTTGTTTATTCTCTACAGTAAGGGGCAGAGATAAATACTATATAAACTGTCGAGAATGGAATCTCAGTGTAAATTTTGTTGTCAACAAAATTGAGCCAAGCCAGCGCCATCTACCATATCGGAAAATCACTATTTACTGGTTTTGCATCGATGCTACAGACACCTACTTTACAAAGGACTTTTTATGATAGATGGCGCCTTGTTCGCATTACTGTCGGTCTGTTCAAATTCGTTTATTCTGGACTTTGAGGCTTAAATTAATTGATAATTTGTTAATTAGATCAAAAGACAGTTTCTTTATCGATGGTTAAGGGTATCCTTAACATATTTATTCAAAGTTCTGATTAATGTTTAATTGAACCTGTCATTTATCTAATCAACAAAGATAAAAATAGATCTTCCAATCTATAAAGTTTGAAGTTCTTCTTGAAACACACAAAACAACTTTGAAATCACTTAAGAACACTTGACAACACAAAGAAAGATGAAATGCAAGACCGGCAAACAAAAAACATTATGAATTATTAGTTATGATCAAATGAATATTTTGGCATATTGTCATATGTTGACATGTCAATCTCATGTCAATGTTATCGACATCGGACGTGTTCTTGATGTGCTGGTATTTTCCAATTTTGACAATTCTGTGGTTGTCAGCGACTTCTAGAAAAACGGAAAAGAGTTATTATGTGGTTTATAACTGGCAATGAGAGATCGCAGGGCCTGGTAAGGGGCAAGCTACTACACTTTATTTTTTCCCAAGATAGATTTTGACATTGAAAACTTTGAAATATAAACAATAACGCTTCACCCTGATTGGTCGCAAAATGATGTGTTTCTGCAGGTTGACATCAGGTTGACAATAGTGACCAATAAGCGGCATTGTTTATGTTTCAAAGTTGACAATGCCAGAATCTATCTTGGAAAAAAATAAACCATAGGTATATAGGATCTTACTTGACGAATTTATGTCCGTCCGCAGCTGTTTGAACACCTGTCGTTGTCGGTCCGCTGTCGTTCGTTCGGCGACTTTGACGTTCATTGGAGTTTGTTCATTTCAGTACGTTCCGCATGTGGCTAAATTCAGCTGGTGTAGGCACCATCGTGGAATGGTAGAAAGAATATTGCTAAATTGAACAGGATTTGGCAAGCTGTGGTTTGGTATTGGCAGTAGTGAATCGCAATCACTGTATCCATGGCGGTGCAACATTTTGGTAAATTTAGACACACGCGGGTTATGATACAGACTTGAGCCCGGTTCAGACGCTAAGTTACTGAAAACTGATCACAACATTTTGTCTGCAACGTATTGAACTGTGCAGATAAAACGTTGTACAAAATGTAGCTACTGGACCGTGCTTTTAAATGTATTGTCGAGCTTCACTTATTTATAATTAAATTTACGTGTGTAGATAGCTGAGCGTTGGTTATCAATATATTTTTCGAACGAATCTAGAATGAATCCCGTATTATGGACTGGACAGTGGACAACCATCTTGTTGAGATCATCTAGGACCAGCTAATCTCCTAATTTCTGGAACTATTTGCCGTTACAAAAGATCCGAATATTTTGACTTAGACCAATAATGGGTGTGACTAGGATTATGTCGACCATAGAGTTGAAATGTTGATTCATCTGTGAAGATAATTTTTGTGATAAAATCTTTATTTTCATTTGCTTTATTCATCACAGTTTCACTTAATTCCATTCGCCTGTCTTCAGAATTAAGTTTTTGGGAGTTTTGTGATTTTTACGAATCATACTTATTTTTTTTCAGTAGCTTCCGCATCGTGCTTGTACTTAAGTCAGTTTTCATAGTTGGAGTTTCGTTAACTAATGCCAACAACATAATTTCTCTTGCTTCTTGCTCCTCATTATTTTCCTGGACGTTATCCGGTCATAGTTTTAGAGAGAAACGCACCACCCGTATTCTTTAAAATCATAAACAATGTTAATTGCAGAAAGAGGTCTATCAGGATAATGTTTACCAAATAAATCTCTAACTTGTTGTAATGAATTAGGTACCACCGTGAAATCACTGAACAATTTTGACTTTTTCAGATAAACTTGCTAGTAACTATCTGCAAGATAAATATACCGTAATTTCTATTGGTCGGCGGATAACTGGTCAACCAATGAGATTATAGATTCCGTTGTTATCAGTCAGATTGCATACCTGACAGTTTATCAGAAGGTGAATAAACCGGCCCTAAGTGATAAGGGTTTTTTTGAGTGACAGGTCTTTTTGTTTCTTTTTTTTACCTGGTTGTCGCCAGGTTAGCGCTAAATGGATTTGTCATTTTGCGGCATGTGGACGCCTGCAAATTCGTCAGGTTATATCCTATATACCTAGTAGCCTGCCCCTTACTGTATATGGTCTTTATCATGGTCTTTATATTTTTTTTGTCTATGAGAACAGAACGCCTTTTTCGGGGTATCCTCTTTCCGCCTGTTTGTACCTAATTATTGAAGCCCAAATAATTTTCAATATTTTATTGGACTTTATTCAAAAAAAGCAGGCATATCAAAAATCTGGGAACATATCATTTAGATATTTTTTTTTTTGTAAGTAAAAGCAATGTCCCAGTTATTTTGATGCCGTTGATATTTTAAGGAAATTCAGGGCGATTCTCAATTCATCATATTAGTTAGGTTAGAATCGCAAATTGGCGCGGGTTCCTAGTTTAAAAATTAATACATTGATGTCTTATGGGAACTCAATTTTAAAAGCGTCTGTAGACGTGATAGAACGTTTGTTAGGGAAGTGAGTTGTATAAATAGTTTTTTTAATATGTTAATTAACTGAGAGAGTGTTTGAAAGTTGAATAAACATTGTTAAAATAAAAATATTACCAATTTAAGAAGCCGATGTTTGTATAAAATACGTATGTCGTTGCTTGATCCACAAGTGTATATGGGTACCTATAATTATAATAAAATAAAAGTGTACCTACATACTTGGTTAGTAGATGTACTTCAATAATCCAAAAAAATGGAAAAACAAATGACTGAACTAGTGATAAATAAATAAATAAACAATTCACCAACAATCATAACACAACACACAACCTCACTTTCTTACAGCTGGTTTTAGACCCGACGTACGTCCACCGAAAACAGACACTTTTAATTAAAATCATTTGTATATAATTCATAGGTCTAAGAAAACAATTAGAGCATGAATTATAGAGAAATATGTTCAAAGTTTGACGTATAATAGGTTCAAATACTAAGAAATGCCCAGAACCCAAGATATTCCCGTCTGAAAATCACTCTTTTGAATCCCCCATAAGAAATACATTGCTGTCAAATTTGTTGAAATGTGTTTAGGAACCCATTTTAATACAGATACAAGAATTTATGGCTTCATCCTGGGCTTATCTCAATTTTTTTTTGAGAAAAAGTTATTCATTTTTATCATAAGAAACAATGAGTAAGGAAGATTGGTCACTGAAAAGCTCAATGAATAAATTAAGTATCATTACTAATTCTGCAGGACAACTAGAACTTGAAATTTACTATTTTCTTATCGCTCTTACTTGATACAGCAATTCCTTTATTTTAACCGACTGTAGCTCACAAAGTACGTGCTTTTTACACGAAATCACTCCACCCAGAAATCTTTCTAGGATTTGGTAAAAAAGTTTTTTTCCGGGCTATAATGCCGTGGTCTAGGAATATTTCTACCTAACGTTTCGTCTACTGCTGTGGTAGACATCTTCAGAGGCGGTGTGGTAGAGGACGAAGTGTTCTCTTCCGTGTTCCTCCTATGACTGGATTCGACGTTGTTGGACCTGCGTTATTTAGATCCAAGGTTGTGGACGTGGCTTGTATTACGCTATTTTCTTTGTCTCGTTTTTGGAAAGGAAGGGTCTTTGTTTTTTGGAGAACTGGCAACCAGCTTTTCTTAGGGTTCATGCCCTCTTCTTTTCTGTTGAAGTTGTTGTGGTGTTTCTGTATCTCTATGGCTTCTCTGTGGAGTCTGGTGTAGAAATGTTTGGTTCTATCCAAGGCTTGAGTCTGGTCGAAACGAATGACATGGTTTGTTTGTGTTAACACGTATTCGACGATTGCTGATCTATCTACATTGTGTGTTTTCGTCGACTTAGCCAAAGCTTTCGATACCGTTTCGCATCAGTTGTTATTGGATAAGATGCAAAAATACGGTTTAAGGGGAAAAATCTTTGAAATTATAAAAAGTTATCTGAGTGGTAGAATTCAATACACCAGGGTCGACGATAGAGTTAGCGATGCTGGTCGTGTTGGCTATGGCGTACCTCAGGGTACAGTATTGGGTCCGGTTCTTTTCATCCTGTACATCAATGGGCTACTGAGGATGGAGGGTGCTGGGCAAATACTATCCTTTGCAGACGATACTGTCGTATTGTTTAAAGGTGAAACTTGGTATAGTGTCATAAGACAGGGTGAACGAGAGTTTGATAAAATAAAAAAGTGGTTTGACTATAACTTGCTCACAGTAAATTTCGATAAAACCAAATGTATGTTGTTTTCTAGCCAGGAGATTGTAACCTTCGTTGGGAATGGGTCTTTCCCACTCAACTGAATTTAAGTATTTCAATCATATGGTTTGGAAGCTTATCCGATAAAATACTTAAAGGGCTATGTGGTTGATTTTTAAAAAAATTATTGAGGGAGATATTAAAGGAAAAAAAATGGTAATATTTGAAATAGTCCGCCAGATTTTGGACCAATCAGAACCGGCCGAAACTGTTCCCTATCGACATGTTTTCTTTCTAGTTGAATGAACAAGATAGAAAAGGAAAAATTCTAACCTAAAAGGATACCTTTTGTAAATAAAACATTTTCAAAGAGTGAAGACTGTTGTGTTAAAATCAAAGTTAAAATTGAAAGTTGTGGAACAGAGATTCGAAATTGGAAAGGTGAGATTTATTTTGTGTTATTTTTCACCAACAGAACTATATTGTCCAAAGTAGGTTCCTACCTACTTCTACTAAGGTTTATTTTGGTTTTTAGATTAGCAAAAGCAAAAACAGAATATAGTCAATACTGTTTAGTTATGTACAACTGAAGGCTAAAAAGAGAAAGCCAACATTGTACCTACTGTTCAGTGTATAACTGTAGAAGAATCACAGAACACAAAAGTACATAAGAGCAAATAGGAGTCACGGCTGATGAAGTAAATAATAGCATTGTGAGCTGAGAATATAGGTAAAGATTGTGTTGACAGAGAACTCCATTGGGCCCGAAAAACGAAAATCTCACTTGTATGTATGTGTAGGTGCTTACATACAGTAAATATGATCTAGATTCATTTGAATTTTGTCAGTTTAAAAAACACATTTCTAGAATTATGTAACTAGAATAGGGATATTTTATGTGATAATTTTGTTACTACTACATTGTTATACATATTTTATTATTGTTGTTGAAACTTTGAAAATGAAGTTTCTGTAAATAAATAAATTGAAAGTTAATTGTATCATATTATCATTGAAGTAAGTAGGAATAGGTGGTTTCTGTACATATTATTATATAAATTGATACCTAGCTATATACGTATATTTCATTTGTAATGTATATTGTACCTATAAACCTGGAAGCATTATCAATTTTAATAAACTCTTAAAAAAAATTAAATGGTTTATATGTTGTTATTTTCTCAGGGCCAAGCAAATTCGAAATTGCTACATTTTGTGTTTAGCACAAAATTATAGGAGACGCCCCAATAAAAACCGAAAATTCAGGTAAATGGGTTCTAGGAAATGGCACAACTTTAGTTGATTGGGTACATTCCAGCTATATATTTTTAAATAAATAAAATAAAATTACACTTTGTTTACATTTCAAAAATAAGGTTAAATTGCGCGAGATCGATGGGTTATCGATATCGAATTCTTGAGAGTTAAGAACACAATTCGTAGAGAAATTTCGTGAAATCAGCAACCGCATGGCAACACTTGAAGAAAGCAGCCAATAGAAAATCTAGGCGCGTGACGTCACCATCCTAAGAATTTTGAATTTCAATTAAAAATTTAAGGCCTTTCCCGGTACCAAGAAAATCCGAAAAAAATATTTCTGGGCTTTATTTTGATTACCCTTTCAGATAAGCAAATAAAAAGAAAACGTGGGAAAGACCCATTACATATCAAGTATATTGTTCAGAAATTAAGAGGAATCTTGACAAAATTCAAATATTTGAAAGATTTCATGTCTACAAATCAACTTAAAATTCTGTACTGTGCATTAGTTCAAAGTCATTTAATTTATGGAATTATTGGCTGGGGCGAAGTCCTAAATACACACCTCAAACACTTAGAGATCATACAAAAGTGGTTTCTGAAAATTATTTTTGGCAAGAGCAGGCTTTTCCCAACTGACTCACTATACCGTTTAAGTGGTGTGATAGATATGCGACAGCTTTTCTGTTACAGAATGGCTTTGACGTCATTTAAAAAACCACATGAATGTTTAATTGTGAATGACAGACATTATACTCTAAGAACTATTAACAAAGTTGCAGTACCAAAATGTCAAGGCCTGTGGACAGAGAAGCTTTCTATACCTCACACCAAGATTTTTTAATATAGTTCCAAGTGCAATAAAATCTTGTGAAAGTTTAATAAGTTTCAAGAAAAAAATGTCAGAATGGATTTTAAAAGTGTTGTGGTTCAGTGCTGGGACCTCTGCTCTTTTTAATTTATATTAATGACCTTGTTCAGTTAAATATCTCAGGTATATTTACTCTATTCGCAAATGACACCTCAATCCTGTGGCACCACAGAGACATTGACATTTTGAAAGCGACCATGGCTCAGGACCTCTCGGATATTAAAGGGTGGTGCGACGCAAACCGCCTGTGTCTTAACATCTCTAAAACTAATATATTGGGCTTTAAATGTAACATTCTGGGCGTAAATCTGGGAGAAATAGCGTAATACAAGCCACGCTCAAAACCCTTGATATAAATAACGCAGGTCCAACAGCGTCGAATTCAGTAAGCAGTAGACGAAACCTTAGGTAGAAATATCACTCGGCCACTGCATTATAGCCCAGAAAAACTTTTTCACTAGATTTGACCGGCCGTGAAAGCCTTCATTTCCTCTAGGTTTCTTGATTCTTGTAAATTCTTCTTTATTCTTTGCACACAATGGACACGAATCCCTGGATATATTCTCACGACTTTGGGATCTAATTTAAAAACATCATCCAAACAAAGTGTGACATTTGAGTAATTTTTTATAGGTCTACCTTGGAGAATGGCGCGGCAGGGAAGTGGCCGTAAAGGCCGCTCGCCAAGACGCCGACGAGAACTTGCAAGTTACGATGGAAAACGTTATCAAAGAAGCGAAACTCTTTTGCCTTCTGCGACACGACAATATCGTGTCGTTAGAGGGCGTTTGTCTGCAGGAACCCAATTTGTGCCTAGTAAGAATTAAATCCTATATAATTTTGTTTGCTGTAAATCAATACTTTGCACTAGGTACTCGAATATTGTCGTGGCGGTTCCCTAAATCGGGTACTAGCCGGTCGGAAAATCCGACCAGACGTCTTAGTGGACTGGGCTATACAAATTGCAAGGGGTATGGACTATCTACACTGTAGAGCTCCTATTTCACTTATTCATAGGGATTTAAAGAGTTCAAACGGTAAATAATTGATGAGTGATTTAGATTTTGATATAAAATAATTAACTCATTTTAGTTTTATTAAGCGAAGCGATCGAAAATGACGACTTAAACTTTAAGACTTTAAAAATTACCGACTTTGGCTTGGCCAGAGAAGTTTATCAAACTACAAGAATGTCACAAGCAGGTAATATTTTTCAGTTTTAAAAAATTACTTCAAAAACTAATTTTTCCCTCTCTTTGTTAGGTACATATGCCTGGATGGCTCCTGAAGTGATTCGGGATTCCACATTCTCGAAAGCCAGCGATATTTGGAGTTACGGGGTATTGCTTTGGGAATTGCTGACTGGAGAAGTGCCCTATAAAGGTATCGACACTTTGGCGGTTGCTTATGGCGTTGCCTGCAATAAATTGACTCTTCCTATTCCCAGCACGTGTCCGCAGCCCTGGAGAGAACTGATGGAGAGTAAGTACATGGAATTGGTTTATAGTTTATTGCTCTTTCTAGATTAGAGTTTGACTAATGATTCGTTCGGAGCAAGTTTCCTTATTGATGATTCTCTAGATATTTTAACTTTGTTTAAAATTTGTTCATGTTCCCCTAATTGGGCTTATTTCTTATTTTTGCTTCTGGCGTTTATTTTTAATTTAACCTGTGAAAAAAACAGTTTAGTAACATTCCACGTTTCGCTAAATTCAGCTGGTGTAGGCACCGTGGTGGTGTATTAGAAAAAGCAGTGTTGTTTTGTTAATCACCGCATCCGTGGTTGTGCAACGTTTTGGTGAATTTAGCCACACGCGGATTATCTGTTTTGTGCTTCATACAGTTTTCTTTCTTTGGTGATTATTTATTTTCGTGAAATATTTTTTCCAGTATCCTTGTTGAAATGTACAATTATTGCATTCCCTTTGGGCAGTTTTTTTGAATATTGATAGTACCTATTTACAAATATTCTCTAGGAAACCCCAGAAAGAGTATCTACTCGGAAATAATACATATATTTTTTAAATACATAGTTGTAATATCATATCCGCTAAAATTTATTGCTGCACACTTTCATTCTTATAATCTATTTGAAAAAAATTAAATATGCACATCTTGTCGAGTTCATTGTTCTTGAGGACATAAAAAGTTTCATCGTTCCCTGAATATTAAGTGAGCGATTGTCTCGCGATTGGCACTTTTTCAAATTAGGTAATGACTAAATTTGCATAAACGAAGAGGGACTGCTGAGTCTCTTCTAAGTTGCAGATTCGGATTTTAATTTTAATTTTTCATTGGCCAATATTTTACAAGTAAACTTTGATACAAGATAAATAATAAAACTGGAAACCCTCTATATGATTATAATTGCACAAGTAGCAAATAAATTTCCCTATCAAACTTATGTAATACTCAATTAAGTTAAGGAAACAATTTATTTCTACATCTAAATCATATTACAGTTTTTGCTAAATAGGTAATGTATTAATGTAATAAATCCACAAAAGTTCATTTGGAATTGGTAAAGGTTACACTCTATTTAAGAGAAGTTTTCATCATTAATTCTCTCCATATAGAATGTTGGGAATCGGATCCACACCACAGACCCTCGTTCGAGCAGATTTTGGAAGATCTGGACAAAATCGTGCATTCGTCATTCACTCAGACGCCGCATGAATCGTTCCACATTATGCAGGAGGATTGGCGCGAGGAAATTGAGGAGGTACTTTTGGAACTTCGCAGAAAAGAAAAGGTAAAAAAAAATGACATACATTACCATACGGCTTCAAATACTCCAAGTTAATAAATATTTTCTTTTTCTTTTACAAAGGCTAACAAATCATACGAAGAGGTAAAGTTAGTTTTGGGTTTGATGTATTTTAAATTTGGTTTTTGCGTGACTTTAGTAAAAAAATTGCCTGCATGTTTTTTTTGGAATTGTTTTTATAAATTAGAAAATTAAATAAAATTTTGCTATTTTTAGCAATTAATTTTTAATAAAATCTCATCCTGTTAGGAATTGCGGAGTAGAGAAGAAGACCTCAACCGTGCTCAAATGCAACAGCGACTGCACGAAGAACAACTAAAACAAAAAGAGCAAGAACTACATGTGAGAGAAATGCATATACTCGAGCGAGAGTTGAATTTTATGATTAACCAACAACAAACTACACCAACTCCTAAAAAACGAAAAGGTTTTATATAATATTTATGATATTTCATTGACTAAATTATGTATTTTTAGGCAAATTCAAACGGTCCCGGTTAAAATTGAAAAAAGAACCTGGATCTATAATTAGTTCTCCATCAGATTTTCGACACACATTGACTGTTCAACATACCATGGATCCTAAGGGAGGACTTGGAGGGATTATTAGTCCAAATAGTCCTCCCGGTTCACCTGCTATTACGCGTTTGAGAGCTATCGCACGTGAGTACTTTCAAATATTCAGTTTACTTTTCATGATTATCCAACAAATAGGTTTTTATGTTGGACAATTGTTTTGATTTAACAAAAAATATATACTTTTGGCATGTATTTTTATTAGCTTGAATTTTATCTTTCGATTTTTCTTTAGCGTGTGTGTTGTGTTATTTTTTAGACAAATTTTTTTTTTAGAGTTTGATTTTTTTTTTTGGCTTTTTGCAACTTGTTCAATGAAAATCACAGATTTGCGCTTTGTACTTTCGTGACACCAAAATTTAACTTTTAGTTTTACATTTTTTGTTTTGATTTTTTTCAATAGTTTAAACCATTTTCCATCCGAAGGCGGACATTTCATTTGCCTTTGTTTTTATATGTGAGCAAGTTAGGAAAGGTAAACTTTGTCAAACAGTAACAGTTGATAAAGGAACACAAAAGCTTCATTTCAAATAAAAAATAAAAATAAAAAAATAAACAGGGTATCACATCTAACACATCAAGAACCTCTGCAACCCAAAAAAGTTAGCCAAATGCGGCTTAAACAGGATTTTGAATGGATATTATTGAAAATGTTCAAATACATTTCTGGGTAGTTTTAGGACAATTAACTGAATAGTTGTCTCACTTTCTTATAAGCAAAATCGGAAGCATAGAGTATAGAGCATAGGTGATCAAAATCACCGTTATTCTGGCACTTGTAAAAATTTACAGTTTACACATGATGTGCAAAGTACCAGACTCTACCGGCAGACTCCAAGGTAGTGGATGAGGAATCAGCAGAACGCGTCAGTCATTTTTAATACTGAACACTTCTCTAGTGTGTTCAGACTCGATATAAAGAAATCTCCTATTTCACATGTTTAGAAATATTGTGATCAAAAACTCACGACTTCTTCTTCTTAGCCTCTCAGATTTTGCGAGGTATTTCTATTCTGTGCCACCTGGTACTAGTTTAGTCCTGCTGTTTGCTTGATGTCGTCGTACCAGCGTTATTGAGGTCGGCCGACGCTTCTTCGTTCCCCCCAGGGGATCTTGTTAATTTTCTGCTCCAATTGTTGCTTGTGTTTCTCGCTAGGTGGCCCTGTTTCATTTTAAGCTGCATATTCTATGTGTAATGTCTTCGAACTTTGTTGTGTTTCTTATCCACTTGTTGGTCTTGTGATCCCTTAGTTGTAATACCTATCATTCTCCTTTCAATTGCTGTCTGATGTACTTGCAGCGTATTCAGGATTTTCTTTCTGAGAGTCGATGTTTCGCTTTCATAGGCAACTACTGGCAGAATACATTCGTTCTAGACTCTAGTTTTCAGCTTCAAAGGTAACTTGGACCGGAATATGTGGTGCATTTTACCATACACCCAGTCGTATTCTCCTATTAATTTCAAGCTCTTCATTGACTTTGCCAAGTGTTATTTCCTGTCCTAGTTACTTGTAGGAGTTAACTTGTTTCACCTGTTGGTTTTCTATGGATATTGTGTCCTTATCTGTTGGCTCATTTGTCATAAACTCTGTCTTTGATATGTTCATTTCTAATCCTCTTTTTGGCTTCTTGGAGTAATTCTTTTAGCATGATTTCTAAGTCTGTTTCATTCGGGGCAAATATTACGATGTCATCACTGAATCTTAAATTATTGAAGTTTTCTCCTGATCCCTCTATTTCCTCAATGTAGTTCCTTGAACACATCTTCGAAGACAAGGGTGTACAGCTTAGATGATATAATATCGCCTTGTCTTACGCCTTTTTTGTTCTTTAATTCGTTCGTATCATCATGCATTCTTTATTTTTGTTTTGTTGCTTCTTGAATATTTTTGATTATATTTATGTATCGCTGATATTCGTACATTTCTCATAGCTCGCTTTCTATCGCCCAGAATTTGACAAAATCCTTGAATGCTAGCCATGTTGTAATGTTATGTAGTATTTTTGTTGTGTGAAGATTTTCTATAGTGCTGTAGCTCTTTCCCCCAAACTAACCCAAGCCTGCTTGTTATTTAGGTCGGTAATCATCGAATTTCCCTTCTAGGCGGTCGATGATTATTCTCATAAATAGTTTGTATGTCTAAGACAGACGGCTTATGGGTTCATAGTTTTCAAGATTTGATGGATCTTCTTTTTTGTATGTCAAAACGACGATGGCAGTGTCCCAATCATGTGGTATTTTCCCCTCTTTTAGAAATTGATTGAAAAGTGTTTACAGTTGTTTTACAAGGTATTCTCCTGCCTCATCAAGCATTTATGGTAATATATCGTCCATTCCTGGGAATTTTCCCTTGTTTAATTGGCTTAGCGCTTTTGCAATTTCGTCCTCTTCTAAATCAGGGATCGCTTTTGACCTAACATTTAGAATTTTGGATTTTTCGCTTTTGGTTTCTTGTTTGTTATTTTCGTTGTTGCTTTTTGCTGCGTCGTCTAGATAATAATATATCTTTCCTCCTGCCGTTGTCTGGAGGGCTTTGGTCCACCAGACCACCGTCACAGATTACTTACATACAGATGCGAAAGAGCGGCGAATTCGTGGTTCAAGATTAATTTGATAGACATAGGCTGGCCCGAGGGCTGGCCGCACCAATGCCACATCAATGTATTTTGAACATATTTATTATATAAATGCGGAAGCTCAATAATATAATATTATTTCTTTAATTGGTTCACAAACAGCAAAAAAATATTTTTTTCTACCTGCAAAAATATGTAAACACACAGGCTGGAACATGCTCACGCACTCGGCCACGTTAATTGTCCTGACGCGGGCGATCTTTATCTATGCGTGGGGCCGCTGGCGGCCCGGCTTCGTCACAGAATATCGTCGACAGCAAGTATACGCACTTACGCATCTGTATTAAGTGATCTGTGCCACCGTTCCATGCCTGACCATTGCTTTTATGTCTGTTTCATAGAACCAGTAGATCTGTTTGGGGGCCATGCCTCGAAACCTGCCACAAATCCTTCTGAGATTCCAGAGGGATAATCTGGCTTTATTGATAGGAGTTCCAGGTTAATTTTCTATGGAGTATAACACCCAGATATTTTACCTCCTCCGCAAATGGAATTAATTTCCTATACATAATTGGTTGACGAAGCCTACAAGGTTGTTCAAAGCCAAGTCAGTGGGATTTTCCAACTTGATAAGCATAAGCATATTGGTGAAAACTTAGGAAGATCTTATCCCTAATATGCTGGACTAGAATGTGCTCTAGAGTTTTCAAAATAAAAGAGGTTAGGCTGATCGGACGGAAGGATTTAGGGAGGGCATTATCCACCACTCCCACTTTGCGTATAGAACTACCTGGGAAGTGGCTCTGTACGAGAAGCTCCAGTGTCTGCCTTATTGAATTCGTGTAGGAGCCATCCGCTCGTTTAACCGAACCGATCTCCTGATTCGAACCTCTAGCAAGAATCTTGCGAATTCTGACACTAGCAGTATATTAGAAATACTCTGGCAGAATCTCCTCCAAGACTTTCCTGGCTTTCCTGATCTGTTTGTTGTAGTTGGTCAGAGCTTTACGATATTCGTTCCAGTAGCTCGATTAAAGAGGATCCCTTTTCTCGTTTTATCTTAACTAACCTCGGAGTACCTCTATGGTTCCTCTTTTCCTTTAGTCGGATGTTTTCTTGATATAATGACGGAACCTAGTTTCTCGCTTGCCATTTATATTTCAGCTCTATGTTGTATAGTACTGAATGAGGTGGTTTTGGAGAGATAGACGGTTTCCTCTCTAATTCGTACTCTGGGGGGTCTCTGTACAGCACTACGGGTCTTGTGGTGATTTTAGAGCTAATAAGTTGGCTACAAATTGTTAAGTCTAATACTTCCGCACGAATACAGTTAACAAAAGTGGATTCAGATCCTACATTGTTTACCAATAGACCTAATTATATAATCATAAAGGTACTCACCTCTTTCATTTGTGTCTGTGCTTCCCCAATCCAAATGGCGAGCATTTGCATCACATCCAATGATCAGTTGCCTGTTATTCCTTTTGCAGTAGGTGATTAGGTCTTGCACTACTGTAGGAGGAACTTGATCAGGTCCTTGATCTCCCGGGAAGTAAGCGGAGCCACGGTCGGAGCAGATGGCAATTTCCACATGTTGAAGAACATTCTACATCTTTATGGATGTCTTAGGACAAGTCATTTTATTTTTATATTTTAAAAAGGTGTATCACAGAGTGTTGATAAAACCACTGAAGAATAGTTTGATCGTACCTATATTCATTGTTAATACATGGTTAATACCTTCTTAAAAATAGTGGTTATGTCAGAGTTGAAATAAAAATTCAAAAAAATATATTGCGTGTCATAATTAATACACAAAAACTAAGCTAAAGAAACAGATTAATAATCAAAGAAGAGTGATTTCCAATAACAAAGTGGTCTTCGTCGCCTAAGCTATCAGCTTTTGGAAAATAGTTCATTTTTGGAGAGAAATTAACATGATGTTGAAAAATGTTCCTGGTTTTGACATCAAGCTGAAAGGTCTCGAAGAAAAACAGCTAAGTGCTGTCTATTTTTCGCTTTATGCAGAATTTCCAACTAGTAAAACTATTAAAAGGAAAATTTGTCTTTCAACGGTTTTGGTTTTGAAGAAAATTCCGATGATTTTGATATTCACCAAAATATTATCAGCAAATCTTTAAGTTTGATCGATCTACAACGAATATCGATTTTATTTGACATAGAATCTGAAAATATTGAGAATTTGGAAGAATTGAGCAAAATTTTAATGAAAGCCATTAATGATCTCTTCACTAATAAAATACATACTAGTTTGAAATCAAAAACAAACAGCAAGACCTCCGTTTACTCAACACTACGCTCCTCATTAAGCAAAACTTCAAAAATTTCGAAAATAAGTGAAAAACAAAGGATATTACTTGAGATACAAGATCAAGATGAAATAACGCCCCTTCAAGATGATATTTACAAATGACAAGAAGAAATAGTTATATTATAATCTGAAATTGAAGAGCTTAAATTGCCACATAATTTACCTAAAGAAGAGCTTC